GTGTCAGTGAAGGAGGTGAAGGGAGTGTGTGGCATGGACAGGGAACAGCTGCAATTTGCCACGAAATATTTATTGAACACCCACTATGGACCAGGCCAGGGCCCATGCTGAGCTGGGGACATGCCGGGGACCTGGGCAGACCTGGCTACTCCCCTCATGGAGCCATCAGACAGCGTAATGACAGGCGTGGTAAACTGCATAATAGCATGGGAAGCATGCAATGGGAAGCAGGGCATTGCCTGGGACAGTGGGGAAGGCTTCCCTGAGTGCAGCAAAGGTGTGTGCTGGGGATGAGGCAGACAAGTGAGGCCTAGGAACTGGCATTATTCCTGGCACTTTCTGTCAGATGCCCTTTGGTCTCTCTGGGCAGCCCTCTGCCCCGTGGGCCCCTCTCGCTTCTCCCCGCCACTCTGACATCTGCATGCGCCTCACTGCAGGGGCTCAAGCCAGATGGATGTCATAAACAGGAAATTCCCCTCAAACCTCTGCACTCTCATCTGGGCGCCGCACGGAGCCATCTGGCCGTGCACGCCGCGATGAAATCTGCCCCGCTCATCACACCGTGCGCCCAACAGCAGCCTGTTCCTCGGAGACTCTGTGGCCTCCTCCCTTTCTCCCATCTCTCCACTGCTGCCTCCACTTCCCTGCTGGGCTGCAGCCCCCAAACCTCCCACTGAGCCTCTCGGAATGTGGTAGGAGAGTGGTGGCAGGCGGAAGGAGCAGGTGGTGGGCTGCCCTCGAAACCGCAGGCCCATTGCTGCAGCTTCACCCTTTCCCTGAGTCTCTGCAGCGCATGCGCAGGGTCATGATAAAAGCAAGTCTCTGTGCCGGATCTGAGCAGGTCCTGGAGATACCAAGGGAAATAAGACGGATGTCCCCTTGGAGCCACAGGCAGGCAGGTGACAGGTGGTGACAAGGCAGTGTGGTGAAGGCTATGATGGCAGGATGTTCAGGCAGCTGTGGGAGCCTACAGGATGGACCTATCAGCCTGGGGCATCAAGTCAGCCTTCCTGGAGGAGGTGATGTCTCCATATTGGAAGATGAATCAAGTATCATCCAGGTGAGTGGGAAGTGCAGGTGTGTCCCAGGTAGAAGGAATAGCATGTGCAAAGGAGGGCTGGTGAGATGGGCCTGGCCCCCTGGGGAGGAACAGAGGCCCAGTGCCCCCATGCAGGCATGCAGGGGAGTTGGGGGTGGTCTGCGTAGGTCCACACAGGCCATAGTACTGTGCGTGGATTTTGTCAGGGAGCAGTGCGCGGCCGCAGAGGGCTTGAGAGCAGGTGAGGATGTGGCCAGTTTGGCATTTAGAGCAGACACAGGCTCTGCTGGCAGGTCCTGGGTCCTTTGGCCTCAGCATGTCCGTCTGTAAAATGGATTCCCGCATTTCTTCCTTGGTGACGTAGCAAGCAGAATCCTCCTTCTAGAAAATGATCTGGGCTGCTGCTAAGAAAGATAAGATACTTACTTTTATTGGTGTGAATTGTTAACACTTTTGGAAGTTTTTTTTTTTTTTTTTTTGAGACGGAGTCTCGCTCTGTGGCCCAGGCTGGAGTGCAGCGGCTGGATCTCAGCTCACTGCAAGCTCCGCCTCCCGAGTTCACGCCATTCTCCCGCCTCAGCCTCCTGAGTAGCTGGGACTACAGGCGCCCGCCACCTCGCCCGGCTAAGTTTTTTTGTATTTTTAGTAGAGACGGGGTTTCACTGTGTTAGCCAGGATGGTCTCGATCTCCTGACCTCGTGATCCGCCCGTCTCGGCCTCCCAAAGTGCTGGGATTACAGGCTTGAGCCACTGCGCCCGGCCGGAAGTTTTTTTTTTTCCAGAAGCCCCCATTTCCTATCTTTTTAAGGGTTTGGTGAGGAGAGGAGCAGGGTTCTATGATCCTTAAAGTTCTGGAAGGCAACTTACCAGATAATAGAGTCTGGAGCCTCTCTCTCTCTCTCTCTCTCTCGTCTCTGTCTCTCTCCTCCCCTGCCCCCCAACCTTTATTTTTCTTCACAGAGTCTTGCCCCATTGCCCAGGCTGGAGTACAGTGGCACGACCAGAGCTCTCAATCTGCTGGGCTCGAGTGATCCTCTCAGCTCAGCCTCTCAATTAGCTGGGACCACAGGCATGTGCCACTATGCCCACCGAATTTTTTATTTTTTATAGAGACGCGGTCTCCTTGTGTTGCCCAGACTTGGTGCTGCCTTTTCAAATATGAAGTGGGGTTCAGAGATGTTGACTGCCCTGCACAGCATGTCTGAAGCACAGTTGGACCTCGGATCCAGAACTCCAGTTTCTAGCCCAGACCTCTTCCCACTGGCCCACATCGTCCCTGTTTGCCAGCCCAGGTGTTGCGATGAAGTCTAGGGAGGGAACTGCATCCCAGCCTGGAATGTGATTGAGTGTATAAGTTTCAGCATCAAATGGATTTGGCCCTTGATTAGTGGGGGTCAACCTGTCAACATTATTTAATTTTTAAAAAAGCTGTAGAAGAGAAAATTCAAGCTGGAGTGGCAGATAGAGTAGAGCTACGCAGGGGAAATGTTTACCTATTGCCAGGACACATACATATTTATGTGGTGTTTTCTCGCGTTTTCCTTTGCACTGTAAAGACTGAGCAACTGTTCAGGGCTGCCCAGCTGATTGAAGACTGGGGAGAGATCCCAGACACTGGATGGGGTTTTGTGTCACACTAATAGCAAGGCAGTTTAGGTGACCTGGAGGAAGTGATGTCTCAGTATTGAAAGATGAGCAGGTGTTATCCATATACTATGTCCTGGGCACCTCAGGCTTTGTGTGCGTGATATCAGTTCATACTAGATAAGGACACTGAAACTCAGGGAGATGGCGTCCTTGGCCCAAGGTCAACCTGTAAGAGGCAGAATGGTGGTTCTCAGCAGGACACCTGCCGTCAAAGACCCACACCCATCTGCTTTGCCATGCTGCTTCTTGGGGAAGAGGCACTTCTTCATGTCCCCAGGCAGTGGTTCCCTGGAAATGGTTCCCCAGCCACTTGTATCATCTACCTGGGGCTTTTTAGTAAAACCCCAATTCCTACCTCCCCCATGGAATGGGTCTCTGGGCAGGGCCTGAGAATCAGAATGTTTCACATGCAGCTGGGAGATTCTGATGAGAACCCCTGCCCTGCAAGGTGTGAGATCTTTGAGAGCAGAGGGTGTGAGCCTGTAGCCCAGGAGACCTGCTCCAGTGCATGTGAGACGCGTACAGCAGTGTGAAACAGAGAGAGAGAGAGAGAGAAAGGAGAAAGGAAGGAAAGAAGGAAGAGATAAAGATCTAAATGTTTAAGTGTCCACTCAAAAGGGAGCAAGTTAATAAATTGTGGTGTGATCATACAAGGGAATATTACACAACAGTCAAAAAGGAGTGAATAGACCTATATATGTATATACTCATGATGCCATTTATGTCGTGATACAGCTCATGATGCAAGTTTTAAAACATGCAAAACATTACGTATTATTTATGCATGTGCTCTTGTCTCCGTGGAAGCCGCTGACCTGGGTTGAGTGCCTCTCTGTTCCAGACGCCATACTATGAATTAGGTCATTCAGTTCTTTTGACAACCCTGTGAGCAATGAGCACAACTGATGGCTCTATTTTCCAAAAAGAGATGAATTAGGCACAGGAAGGTGAGGTGACTTGCTCAACCTCACACAGCAAGCACATGGCCCAGCAGGTTAGACCCAGGCAATCCAGCCCAGTGCCCAGGCTCTAGAGACCACCACCCACTGTGTCATCCACAGCCATCCTTAGAGAACTTGTCCCAAGAGGCTGTTGGATGCTCGGGACAAATGGATGGAGGGGATGGCTGGGAAGGGGCTGTCATTGCCCTACTTTACAGATGGGGAGACAGAGTTCTCAGCTAGTAGCCCGAGAGTTACTGATGGTATTGCCCTGTTTAATGACTGCACGGCCTGCACTTCACTTACCATGTCTCATGTGATCCTTGCAGCTGCCTGTGAGGTGGGGGCTGTGAGGGCCCTAAGGATTCTATAAGGGGCTCTGTAATCCCCGTTTTGCAGAGGAGGAAATTGAGGCTCAGCAGAAAGCAAGGTGGGGGCCAGGACTGGAGCATCCCAGGCCTGCTGGGTTCTACAGCCCAGCTGGTGAGCGCAGGGGCCAGCGACTGGGCCTTGGAGCCCCCCCTCCGCCTGTGCTGGCTGTGAGCTCTCGGGGCCAGCCAGGGTCAGTGGCCGCAGCTGCCTTCCCTGTTCTATGGAGGCAGGGGCTGTGCAGAGCCAGCACATATGGGCCAGTGACATCATGTCTGCAGGGGGCCCTTGGGGTCCATCCCAGCTGCAGGAGCCTGGCTGGGGGTCCTACATCCCTGTGGGATGGGAGTCATGTGACTTATCAAGCTGAGCCAGACTGGGGAGGATAACGATGGCAGTGGGGGTGGGGGCTCCGCAGCTTCCTCCTGAGGACCCTCAACACAGTTCTGGACGGAGAGCACCAAGCAACTGCAGTCAGAGTCAGGCCGGCCCTGGCACCAGACCAGAGGGCCTCAGGGCTGCCAGCTTCTTCATCCCACACGCAGGGCAGGTGTGTGTGGCAGAGGAGGGGGAGTTGCCACCCGCAGTCAACAGGTGTCAAGCGGTGGGCAGGTTCCCGGCCCTGGGCTGAGCCTGTGATGGACTCCGTTTACCAGCTCTAGCCCAGACACAGGCCGTCTTAGCATGCCCATTTTATAGATGAGGCTCCAAGAGGTGAAGCAACTTGCCTGAGGCCACACAGCTGGGAAGGATTGAGTTTAAACTCGAACCCAAGCCAGTGGACTCCTAGTCCAGGGCTCTTCTTCTCTTACACCAGTAGGCATGGGACTGGCCCTGGCCTGGTGGTTCAGGGAGGGTGGAGGCGGGGGTGGGGGCTAGATGGTGGGTGCTGTTGCATTACCAGAGGGCTTCCTGGCGGAGGTGGCTGGTTCAAGTTGGGTCTCAAAGCGTTTCCATGTGTGTGGGATCAGTGGAGGTCTCACCAGCGCTCCTCATTCCCACAGGCATGGCCTCCTCCCGTCTGGCTCCCTGCGTCTGGCCCAGGTCCAGGTGGGTGACAGCGGCCACTACGAGTGCACAGCCAGTAACCCTGCGGGGTCCACCTCCCGGCGCTACGTCCTTGGGGTGCAAGGTAGGACCAGTTGGCAGCCCCAGTCCCTCCCTGTCCCCCATCACCCTGCGTGTCCCTCAGGTGTCTCAGTGCCCCTCCTGTATCCCATGCCCAGGTCTGTCAGGCTCTGTCACCTCTCCCTCTGTGTGCCTCTGCCACCTCCTCTTGCCACCCCCACTTCCTATCTCTCTCAGGCCTGTGTCTCCTCCTCCACACTTTCTCCACCTCTCCCCACACCTCCTGGGGGGTCCTGGAGATGCTGTTCAGAGGCCCCCAAGAACATAGGGCAGAGTGCAGTGGGGACCTGGGTTTGGGAGGACGGGGGTCAGAGGGGAACCCACGAAGGTGCGTCTGAGAGTGTCTCTGCCTGGTGCGTGAGGCCCAGCTGGGAGCCCAGGGCGTGGTGATGGGAAGAGGCCTGTGAGGTGCTACAGAGCCCCCTCCTGCTGGGAGCATCTTAATGCCCCCCAAGAGGCCCTTCTGAGCTCCTGCGCCCACCACTGCCATCAACGAGGCACTTTGTGCACCTATAACAGGAGGTGCCGCTCTCTCTCCATGCATCCCTTCCTCTTATCCGAGGTCCCCACGTACCCCACTGTGGTTCTGGTTCCCAGCCTGGTGGAGGGTCCCAGGAGGAGGCGTTCCCCTGTGAGTCCAGGGCTCATTCAAAGGGAGCCAGCCAGTGAGAGTCATACACTGAAAAGGGAGGTCACTTGTCATCTGAAAGAACCCTGAGAGGCATCCGAGACGGGCCCAACTATGGCCCCAGGGCCCAATCCGTCCTCCTGTTTTCAGGGATCATGAGCCAGTGAAGAATGGCTTCTACTTTTTAAAATCACTGGACACGCACAAAAAAAACCAACCAAATAATGTTTCGTGACATTTCAAATTTATCTGAAATTCGAATTTCAGTGTTGGCCAGCCATGGTGGCTCATGCCTATAATCCCAGCACTCTGGGAGGCCTAAGCGGGAGGATGGCCTGGGCCCAGAAGTTCGAGACCAGCCTGGTCAGCATAGCAAGACCCCATCTCTACAAAAAATAAAAAATTACCCACTCGCAGTGGTCCGCACCTGTAGTCCCAGCTACTCAGGAGGCCGAGGTGGGAAGATAGATTGAGCCCAGGAGGTCGAGGCTGCAGTGAGCTGTGATCATGCCACTGTACTCCAGCCTGGGTAACAGTGCGAGATCCTGTCTCAAACAAAACAAGACAAAACAAAAATTCAGTGTTTATAAATACAAGTTTTATTGGAACACACCCACAGATGTTCATGTATGTGCTGCTGGTGG